CGGGGTTTCACCGTGTTAGCCAGGATGGTCTTGATCTCCTGACCTCGTGATCCGCCCGTCTCGGCCTCCCAAAGTGCCGGGATTACAGGCTTGAGCCACCGCGCCCGGCCAACCTGGTTTCTCTTTGTTTTTGTTTTGAGACAGGGTTTTGTTGTGTCGCCCAGGCTGGAATGCAGTGCATGATCATAGCTCACTGCAGCGTTGACCTCCTGGGCTCAAAATATCCTCCCACCTCAGCTTCCCAAAGTGCTGGGATTACAGGCGTGAGCCACCGAGCCTGGCCTGATATTACTATCTGTACAAGGGAAAGCAGAGAAGAAGCAAGATGCATCTGACAGACCTGAAGAAACAGAACCCCCAGCTGCCAACAGGTTCTTCCCAGGAAGGGTGGTATGCCACTCACGCTGCAAACATGTGAGACCGTAAGGGCACCTGCATTTCCCCGTTCACCGAGTCCATGGGGCCCAGGGGACAGTCTGAAGAGGTTCATCCAGTGTGGACCCATGAGCCCCCAAAACTAATCAGCACCACATAGGAGGCGGCTTCTGCAAGTAAGACCCAAACTGACTGGAAAAAAGAGAAGGCCCAGATAAGAGTGGGGATCAAAAATAGCCAGGGGTGCTCGAAGGGAGGAAACCACATTCCTAACACACTCACGAACACGCCAGAAAAACTCCTGGACCTCCTCCCGCCTAAGAGAGCAGCAAAACAAATTTCATGTAAAAATAGGCAATAGAAAAATCCCTTATGAAGTTATAAGAAAAAAATCAGCTGAATAATGTCTCCAGATAAGAAAGTGGGATGAAAAGATGTGTCAGTACTACAAAGGAAATTCATATCTTAGTACTTCAAAACAGGCTAAAAGAAATCAGGGAAATGACACATAATATGAAAGATCTACTTAAATCACAGCTAGAAAAGCTTCAATGAGGTGCTAGAAAAAAATACGTATCAAAGCCACCACACCCGGCCTGAAATAAACTTTAAATATTGTACTAAAAAAAGGTTTCTCAGGGCCGGGCACAGTGGCTCACGCCTGTAATCCCAGCACTTTGGGAGGCTGAGGCAGGCAGATCACGAGGTCAGGAGATCGAGACCATCCTGGCTAACACAGTGAAACCCCTCCACTAAAAATACAAAAAAGTAGCTGGGCGTGGTGGCAGTCGCCTGTGGTCCCAGCTACTCAGGAGGCTGAGGCAGGAGAATGGAATGAACCCAAGAGGTGGGGCTTGCAGTGAGCCAAGATGGTGCCACTGCACTCCAGCCTGGGCAACAGAGCAAGACTCAGTCTCAAAAAAAAAGTTTCTCAGCCAAGCGCAGTGGCTCATGCCTGTAATCCCAGCACTTTTGAGAGGCGGAGGAGGGCGGATCACCTGAGGTCGGGAGTTCAAGACCAGCCTGACCAACATGGAGAAACCCCGTCTCTATTAAAAATACAAAACCAGACGGGTGTGGTGGCACATGCCTGTAGTAACAGCTGCTCGAGAGGCTGAGGCAGGAGAATGGCTTGAACCTGGGAGGTGGAGGTTGCGGTGAGCCGAGATTGCACCACTGTACTCTAGCCTGAGCAACAAGAGCAAAACTCTGTATCAAAAAAAAAATTTAGCCAGGCATGGTGGCGTGTGCCTGTAATGCCAGCAACTCAGGAGGCTGAGGCAGGAGAATCACTTGAACCCGGGAGGCCGAGGTTGCAGTGAGCCA